AAGCGGCATATTGTTTTCCGCACTCGCACGTACATTTTGGTCCTTCGAGCCGGATGAACAATAATAATTTTGTCGCAATTTTATTTGTTAGGCCGCTACAACTATTATAAATCTAAAATTAATTTTATGGTTCTTTTGTTATATTTTATTATTATTATTATTATTATTAATATATTGCATAACAATTATCATTAATTGCGTTGTATGTTTGCGCTCGTGTTTTTTCCGTGACAATTTGACCCACGTAATGAGTGTACTTCATATCGTAATATCGTAAATGTTTGAAACCGTATGTGTTCCCGTAAATACCGATGTACACGGATGACAGTATACTCGTACGTATAGACTTATACGCAGTACGTTTTCGTCCGTCGCGATGTTCAGTGTACAGTATGTTTTGCGTGTAGTGTATTGTTTATATAGTGTATTATGGCTAGTAGAAGTGCGCTTTCAATAAATGAAAAAAAAATATATCCTAGCCAATTGTAATAAGTTTCCCGAAAAGACGAATCAGAGATTAGCAGCACAACAATTGGGCATTCCGCAGTCAACATTGAACAAGTTAGTGAAATCCCGTAACGAAATAAATGACTGCACTGAATCTCAAAATAGAGCTATTGAAGAGCATAACATAGGCACAAATTACTTTGATACGTTGAACAACTTAGAGCATATTATGATGGTCTCCATACCAAAAAAACTGTGGCAAATTACCGACTTTTTTGAATATATATATATATTACGTTTTGATGCGAATAGTGGTTAAACCTGTAGATTAAACAGGTAAAAATATTGAATTTAGGATAACTTTGAATAATAATTATTAATTATTGTAGTTCGGGCTATTACAATAAAGGTATGGGAAATCTTAGAATAAACAACCTTTTTCGGTTAAAGGTCGAAAAATAAAATTAAATGGAAAAAATATTATAATATTTGGGTGTGATAGTACCTACTACTTATTATTATTATTTTTTAATAATTTTATCAATAATAATATATATGTAAGTTAGGAATTATTATTTTAATAGATAATAGATAGTAGTAATTAAAATTTACAAAATTAATCCATAAAATTAAAATAGTACTATCAATTATCATATCCAAATTATAATATTTAACAAAAGTATACACATTAATTAGGAATTATTTTAAATTATTATAGGCTTATTTAAATATAAGAAAACAAATGCATTCAATGCCGCTGGTTACATTGTTACATTTATTATATATATAAAAAGTTTTCATATCTATATCGGACTTTAATGTATGTAATATATATTATTAAAGTAATAATAATACTAATTATTACCAATTAATTTGTTAAATTTCAGTCCGTGTAATTCAATGCTTTTTTTAAAGCCTTCAGGTACGGTATCTGCCTCCATTGCTCTAGCAGATTTAGTCCAATTCATAAAACAAGTATGTTCTTGTGGGGAAAGTTTCGCATTTTTTTAGTTTTGTAGGTAACTCAATAGGTGCCCATACACGAGCGGATTTTATAACGGATTTTATAATATTAACCAAATTAATTCATCAGGCTTGTTATCGTTTTCAAGAGCTTCAGAACACTTTTTCATAAAACTAGAAACGCTATCATCCATCTTCTGTTTTTTAGTTTTTTTACACTGAATAGGTGATGACGGTATTTGAAAAACCTGAAATACAAATTTTAATATTAGTAAAATAATAATAATTTTTTTTAGCAACTGTAAATAATAGTTAACACAGTAAGTAAGAAAAATGTATTAATTTTATATTTTTATAGGTGCCTCAAACATCTAAAGATTGGAAAGAAGTAGCTAATGGGTTTAAGGATCGATGGCAAATGATCAACTGTGGAGGTTGTATTGATGGCAAACATATTCGCATTTGTCAACCTGCACGTTCTGGTGCACTATATTATAATTATAAAAACTTTTATAGTATTGTTCTAATGGCTATTGTAAATCATAATTATGAGTTCATATATGTCGATGTTGGAAAACAAGGTAGGATATCTGATGGTGGCGTTATATAAGCAACAACATTTTACAGAAGACTACAGAATGAAACTCTTAATTTGCCAAAACCTACAGATTGTGAAGAAGATCTTAATTTTGTATTCATTGGAGGTGAAGCATTTTCTCTAGAAGAACATGTTTTAAAACCATTTCCACAAAAATTCTTAAACTATGAAAGAAGGATTTACAATTACCGACTATCGAGGGCTAGAAATGTAGTGGAAAATGCTTTTGGTCTAATAGCAAGTAGATTTCGCATTTTGCAGACATCTATTAATGTCAATCCGAATGACACAAAGTATATTGTTTTAGCAATTTGCACACTTCATAATTTTCTTATAAAGCACAATTCTTCTTATGTAAAACCTACATCTGAAAACAGTGAGACACAAGACATAGAAGATATTGATGTAAGTGGACGATTGTTTCCATTACAAAACTGTATTAATGTAAGAAATAGTTCAGCAGCAGCCAAAATAAACCGAAACAAGTATTTAGAGTATTTTAATGGAGTTGGAAAAGTAGTTTGGCAGGATGACATGATTAAAAAAGGAAAATCATAATTATTTTAAATAACTAAGGATATTTTTAATATTTTTACTAATTAATTAATAGGTATTGTACCTAATTATTATCATTTTTATTACTTATTACTTATTATTTAGATTAAGAATATAGGTACTATATAACACTGTCATTGAGAGTATCATGTTATCTACTTAAACTATTATAAACACTTGCATATTGTTAAATTTAATAGTCACTGTCAAACAATTAAACCTAGTTTTCATTTTTAATTTGTTGAAAAAACTTACATTATTTTGACCATCATTTGTATTGGATACATCACTGTCAACATCTTGTTCACAACATTGTGAATTATTTTCAGTCAAATCTAAATTGTTACAGTCATTTTCTTCATCTATTTCATGACTATAATCGCTAGTACCTCCTAGGTTATCAATTGATGGAAGTGGGTCCATATCATTTGCAAAATATAAGAGATCATAATACCTTCAAGAATAAATTAATACACAAATATAGTACACATACATATTACATAAAATTGGGAACCTATGTAAAAAATTAACACTTACCACAATGTTGGAGTATACAGGTCATCTGTACCTTTTCCACTTCTCCTTGATGCTTCTACTTTTGCTCTTTCCTTTCTAACCATTCTTCTGATGTTTTGAATTTTAGATTTAACTTCTTTTACATTAGCACTAGCCAATCCTTTAGATTTGAGAAATTCCATAAGTTCATTATAAGCAACAGACTTTACATTTTTGTTCTTATACTCAATAGAGCTTATTTTCCATAAACATGGTTTGGAATGGTACAACTCGATGAAATCTGTTGTTATAGATTTACTCCACTCCATGATTTGTGCAAAATGTATTTAAATATTACTAAAAAAAAATTAGCGAGGTACACCAAAAAAAAACCAAGATTTAAAAATGATTAAAATATATCAAAAATCAAAATACAAATCATTAACGAACCATTGATAAGAGAAACAGATGATATTGTATGATAATAATAAATGATAATAAAATTATTACTATCAATAAAACAAAAATTTCTTATCAAGGTCCGTGGTCCGCTGGACCTGGTCTTTTAGTCTGTGGCAAAGCGAGAGACTTGAACCGTTGGACTAAATCCGTCGGATTTTAAATCTGCCGGATTGAATCCTTAGAACACCACACACGATAGGACTTTTTAGAGGATTTAATCCGTCAGAGACCAAATCCGTTGTAAAATCCGCTCGTGTATGGGCACCTAATGATAACTTGATTGTAGGGTTAGGTACTTATCAGTGGCGTGCAGTGATATTTTATGCTGGGTAAGCGCTAAAATAAAATTTCAAGTTAAAACAAAAAAAGGTATTTTATTAATAAAAAATAAAAATTATAATCTAAAATTTATTTATAAACAAAATCTATTCGTCTTTCTTGTTTTATAAATTCGTTAATAACTTTATCATAAAATTCTGGATGATTTTTTTCTTTGTGCAGGAGTTCCTTTTCGATTGAAATTAATGATAATGAACTTAGTCTTTCTTGCCCTTGTGTAGATCTTTGATACGATTTGATACGTTTTAATGCCGAAAAAGAACGTTCAACTGAAGCTGTTGTACTGGGAATAGTTAAAATTAGTTGACTGAGTTTAAATACTTCTTGGAACGCCGATATTAAATCATTCATCTTAATTTTTTTGACTAAATCATATGGATTAGTATTTAAAAATTCTTCAGATTTGTATAATACAATTAATTCATTTCGTAATCTAATAAAATCAAATATTTCTCCAAAATTTGATTCTTGCAAGTTTTCTAGAGCAGAATTTGGAAATTCGTTCGTGTAGTTTGAATATTTACTTGGGTCAATTAATGATAAAAATTCAAATTTATTTAAAGAACCAAATCGCGCTTGCAAATTTGTCAATATGTTATCAAATATTTCATTAAAAAGTACTTTGTAAAATGTTTTCGGGTCACGAATTTTACGCTGTAGTTCAAAATCGCCTTTATCTGATAAAACTGTTTCCCATAATTTTTCAAATAGATTTAACCTATAATTTTGCAGTTGACATTTAGTTTCTTCAATTTTTTTCACACAGTATAAAATATCTAAACGTTTAGTTTGTAATACTTCATATAAAATATCAGTCAAACTAAATATTTTACTAAATACTATTAGCAAAAAGTATGTTTGTCGACTATCTAAAAAATTGATGAACCCTTGAGATAATACTATCGCTTCATTATCCCAATCATTAGAATTATCTAATACGTGTTGAAAAAACTCTATGAAATATGAATTGTATTCGTGAACTGTATTTACTAAGCGAGAAGAAAAATTCCATCTAGTCGGCGCATTTTTTGGCATTTTTTTTCTTGTAAAATTAGATAAAGCATGTGTACGTTTAGAAGATTTAGTAAAAAATGATCCCAAACCAGTTAGTGTTTGAAAAAAAATCTTACAGTCTTTTATATTTGATGCTGATTGTGAAAGTACAAGATTTAATGAATGGCTAAAACAATGGACAAATAATGCTTTTGGGTAGAGCTCCTTTACTTTAACTTGTAGTCCTCCAACATGACCACTCATAACGGCCGCTCCGTCATAAGTTTGAGCTACTAATTTATGTTTTAATTCATACCTATTAACTATATCAATTACGTGTTTCAATAAACCATCTGCTGATCTATCAGCACTAACATCGACAAATGAGATAAAACGTTCATGTGCTTCCCCGGTTTCATGATGAACATACCTTAAAGTTGTTGATAATTGAGACAGATTTGCTATGTCTGAAGTTTCATCTAATAATATTGCAACAAAACTAGTATTTTTTATTTCTGATTCAATGGACGTTGATATGATGTTGCTAACTGAGCAAATAAGATCATTTTGAATTCTATTGGATGTACCACGGAATATTTTTGATGTTTCTAAATGCACGTTTAAAATAGAATCATAAGATGATAATAAATTTAAACAACCGAGGAAATTTCCCTGATTGAAAGAATTAACTCTTTCATTGTAACCACGAAATGGTAATTCGTAGATCGCCAAAAAACAAACACAATCAATAAAACGTTTTAAAACGTCTCTATTTTTTTTTACCAATTCATTATGGCGTATTACATCTGAACGTCTTTGTTCATCAAGCTGCAAATCAATTCTAGATTTTCCAAACATTTTTAATTTTAAAACAGAAGAAATATGTGTTTGAGATCGTTCATGTTTTTGAATACCATTTGTTAAATTATTTAAATTAACAAAACCACTATAAGACCAAACATTTTTTTCCCTGGTAAATAAAACACAAGGCGAACAGAAAAGTTTATTTAATTTTGCACTACCAGTCAACCATGGAGTATTTAAATAATTAGAAATATTAAAATGACGAATGTAAACTTTGTTTTTTTCTTTGTGATTAGATGTCAATTTTGGAATTTCTGGACATGGTCGACCATTTTTTACAATTGTTAATTTTTCATCAAAATTTTTTAAATGAAATTCATTTTCCAAAAGATGCTCGATTAAGCAATTGTTTGAATAAGTATTCATTGTCTATAAAAACAAACAAGGCGAATATAATTTGATTCCTCTTAATTATAATAATTTTATTTATTTAAATAATAATTATCTATACCAATTCTATAAAATTATGCAATAGGAATTTAATATACTTACATTAAAAAATTTTATTCAACACCAAATTAACTATGATGACTTGTGTGACACGTTGACGGTTGACGACAAAATAATATATTTATTATTAGTATAGTATAGTATAATATAGTATAGTTAAAACTTATAATAAGTACATTGATAACAAAAATAATCCGATATGCATCATAAGAATATTGGAATTCCGTTTTTAAAAATATCGATAAGCGCTCGGCATAGCGCTTTCAACCATCACGTAAAATTGCGTATATCCCCTTCTACCACAACTAGTCATTCCTATAAATAACGATATAGGAAAGGCAATCTAAAATACTAGCGCTTCTGTAAAGAAATTGCCTATACGAAAAAAAAAAATTTAATTTCTTTCAAAATCTGATAAATTTTTTTTAAATTGAACACAAAAATAAGAATTAATAAATATTTGTAATTTTAATGTAAACAAGTTATCAAGTTATTACTTCTAACCACCCTGATGGCACAGCGCATGCAGGCTCTGCGATCCTAATTCGCTCATCAATTCAATTCAATCGTCTCCCCATTTACAATAAAGACTATTTACAAGCCTGTGCAATTTCTATGACAATAAATCACATCCCCCTCTCAATAGCCGCTGCTTACTGTCCCCCAAGACACAACATAACACCTGACCAATTCAAAACATTTTTTAAGTACCTAGGACATAACTTCTTAGTTGGTGGCGACATCAACGCAAAACATCCTCACTGGGGCTGCCGTGCCAGCAACCCTCGGGGCAACACTCTTCTAAAAATCATCTCCCACAAACGATACAAAGTTCACTCTCCCCCCCGACCCAACTTACTGGCCCACATCCCCATCTAAACGTCCTGACATCCTCGACATTTTCATCTCCAATGTACCTAATGGTCTCTATCAACACATCGAAAATTTTAACTTCCTTCTCTCTGATCATTCTGCCGTTCTCCTCACCTTAAACGCCTCACCACCAATTCAATCGATCAAACCCTCACTAACAAACAAAAACACTGACTGGGATTCATTTCGGTCACAACTCTCTAACGATACTAATCTAAATATAAAACTTAAATCTCCGGAAAACATTGAGGACGCTATTACCAAATTAAATCAATCGATACAAAGTGCTGCGTGGAACTCTACCCCAATATCACAACCCTCCCCTCCCTTTTCCATAAACATTCCTGCTCATATACGTCATGTAATTAGCGAAAAACGCCGTGCAAGAACTCAATGGCAACGAACCAAATATCCCTCTGACAAAAATCGTCTAAACTCCCTATCTACAAAATTAAAAAGACTGATGTTGAACTTCAGAAATCAATCATTTACTAACTATATGGCTTCACTATCTTTCAAAGATGGCTCTATATGGAAAGCCACAAAAAAAGCCCTTAAGGAAAAAGCTTCATATCCTCCCCTAAAACAACCCAACAACACATGGGCCATTGAGGACCCAGTAAAAGCAGATATCTTTAAAACTCACCTAGCCGAAGTCTTTAAACCTCATAATAATATAAACAATCCAACCTTTTCCAACGAAATTGAAACATTTTTGCTTTCCCCCTTGCAAATGACTCTACCTCCTAAAGCGTTCTCTCCTGCAGAAGTCCAACATTGCATTGACACATTCCCTAAAAAGAAGGCGCCCGGTTTCGATCTCATAACCTACGAAGTAGCCAAACATCTTCCAAGGAAAACACTAATACTTCTTACGTACATTTTTAATTCAATTATTCGTTTATCTTACTTCCCGCTTCAGTGGAAGTTCTCCATCATTATAGTCATTCCCAAACCTGGTAAGCCCCCCCGATATCCCTCCCCATACAGACCTATTAGTCTTCTACCTTTTTTCTCGAAGGTACTTGAAAAGCTAGTGCTCAAACGAATTAGTCCGATCATAAATAACTCTAAAATTATACCCAACTCGCAATTCGGTTTTCGAAATCGTCACTCCACAATCCATCAAGTAAATCGTATAACTGACACAATTGCTTCAGCTCTAGAAAAAAA